TCAAATCATCACCATTGTGGGTGGAAACTGTAACTAGGCCAATGAGTCACCTGGGATGTTGCATAATCTAATGATTCAATTGTTCTGGGATATTCGCATTACAAGACAAAGAATATACCTGTGATGACCTATATATAGATGGACAAGAGGCACTGAGGATAGTTTGGGCCTTACTCTAAATATATTTTAGATAATGTAAGATAGTGCTACAGATTTTGTCCCATGTTTCATAATCTAATGATTCAATTGTTCTGGGATATTCACATTACAAGACAAAGAATATACCTGTGATGACCTATATATAGATGGACAAGAGACACTGAGGAGAGTTTGCCTTACTCTAGATGTATTTTAGATAATGTAAGATGGTGCTACACATTTTGTCCCATGTTTGAGTTAGAGTATAACAGCATGAAAATGTAAACTGGAAGAGGATTTAATGCAAATCTGCTTAGTACCCGTTTATGACCCACTCAACACTTAACCCACTCAAATTCAAGAGTGTCTATAGAAAAGCTGGGTAGAAAACTTGTTCACTGCATAAAAATCCTCTTAGGTGCCTTCTTTTCTTTTGTGGACTTCTTATAAACAACCATGGAGCAGCCTTAAGGCAGAAATCAAACTTCCCCTATGTACAGCAAGACTTGACACATTTTTTCTGTGCCCTGATATCGACTTGAGCCGCTAGTCGTTTGATAATCCTGCAGGAATCGACTGTTGGGTCAGAACTTGAACACAGATCTGATTGAACTAAATGGACTTTCTCTGGTCCCTGCATTGACCCACAGGAGCTCCTAGTTAATGAACTGTCCAGAAGCATAAAACCCTTCATCCAACAGAAGAAAAAAGAACTTGTATGCAGTTCTTATAGAATTACGTATGATATCCTGTCAAGTAAATGGCAAAAGGAGCAAGTTCTTCCAACCTGATAAAATTATTTTCGGAGGCAAAAGAAGCAGTTTCTAAGTATGGCAAAGTACCCATATTCACATATTAGACAAAAACGACCACCACAAAAACACTTCATTGTAAGTGCCACAAAAGACTTACAGAACGCATAGTAAGAATTGTGAATCCGTATTGTATTGTAAGCCCACATGCACTGTATTGTAATTTTTTAATGATGCAAAATGTTGATGTGCCTTTAATCTATTCTGTAAATTTTTGATGCAATTCAGATGTGTCTTAATACATTCAACACATCTCCAAATTTGATTTGAAGTAAAGATGTGAAGTTTGAGATTTTGAGTTTCATTAATCAAATTTGAAAAATGTCATCAATGACTTGATTTTGATTTTTGGTTCAGTGTTGTTACATAAGAAGCAGCCTACAAAACAGGACATATCATTTAGGGAGAAAAGAGGCAAAAGTTTTTAAAATTTCATTTCATTTTTTAAAATTTTGTTTCCTTTTTTTTACCTAGTGCATGATTAGGGGATGACAGAAAAAGCAGTGAATGTAATACTGTAACTGTAGATTTTAGAAAAGCATTTGAGGTAATGGTTTTAATTCATCAGAATGCCTTATTACTGGTTGATATTGTATACTTAGATGCACTATAATTATAATATAATAATTGTCAGCTTTTTTATAGTGGTGTACCTAGACGTTTGCTAAAAAAATTAGACTGGAATCCTCTCATCTTTTAATCAATCATTCAAATACGTAGGCCACACGAATTTAATTTCTTGGTAAACGAATTTTTCTAGAAAAATAATGGAGCGGGCGGGCGAAAAAAATAAAAAAACAAGAAGCCATAGGTGACAATCCTCCGTGAAGTTTTATATATTTCAACAAAATCCCAAGCGTCAACACCAGACCTACTATGCAGACATTATAATTAGGCAACGGTTAATACAATGAGGGCGCGTCACAAGCATAAAACATACAAAGAGCTAAATCCATTACTGCTCCCAGGGCGTGTAAAGATACTGTGCTTCAAGTTCGAAGTTCATTTTAATTACACACACACAATCATTGCATTCAAATAAAGATCGGACTATCATGGTCGTGTCTAGTAACAAAGACAGCCCCACCTGTTAGGGAAGCGAGTGTGGGAGCCCCGGCATACAAGTAGAATGGTACCCAGGCTACGTCTTACCGTGCCTGTACCTAATTAAGCGCGCCTGTAACAGGCCAAATTCCAGCAACAGTTGCGGCCAGCACCGCGAGTGTTACTAGCTTACTACCGCCGGCCAGATAACCAGGATATCTGCTTATAGTACCTCTGCTACCAGACAACTGCCTAAACCTACGGCCTATTCCACAGGATTGTAAAAGTAGGGATGTTTCTAAAATATGCATTTACTTCAATATCAAAACAGCTACGGTAAAAATAAAAAGAGGTGCATCATCCCGGACATAAAGCCACACCACATGCGAAATTACACAGAAATGCGACGTACGGAAGAATGCGTTTTGGCTGCGAACATCTTCCAAAAAACTTGGCATCTCTTAAGCATGGGCAAAAACATCTGGAACCACTTATCAAAACCACCCCGTATCTGCATGAAGTTCCACCCCCCCCACTGCTATTCCAAACAACGCGTTTTTCTGGACCATTCCAATTCGCCTCGTAATTGTAGGGGTGCGTCTGCAATATTATATTGACCGCGAAAGCAGCAACGGCAAAAATACACATTCGTGCATCAACACGGGCATGCCCGCAGACGGCCTATAAAATTGCGTGCCGATTACACAAAGAGAACCCAGTGTTTTGACTGCGAACATGAAAAATCAGCCGATCACAACACTCCGTCCGGAGGTCCTGACCTCCTTCACGGAGTAATAAAAACAGGCCTAGGCATCCTATTATGGCCCAAAATGGTACGATAAGAGCCATGAAGTCAACACGCCAGGCTGGTTCAAAATTTAAACAATAAATTTTGAACTTTTAATGATACCATTGCATTGAAAGATGGAATAACTGTAACAACTAGGATGAAAAGGACTATTTTCAACTGTTCCGGGCAAAATATGAGTATTTTGCAGTTGATTCTGAATTTTTATTTTTATTTACAAATCAGAAAAAAATGAAGCGGGCGAATCCGATAACCAAGAAATTAAATTGGTGTGGCCTTAGCAAGAAATTGCACTCGTTTAAAAAATATAGAAAATCCAGAGGTCGATGGCCATAATATGCACTTCACGTTCACCGTTCAAAATATTGCAATGGTAACAATCCACTGTATCGGGGCAGAGATATCACTTGTCATGTTCCATCCAATTTTTATTGTCACCTCTGTCCATAATAATTGCAGTCATGCCAGAAACAAGTCAGGCCTGGCACCCTTAACTGCCAGGTTATTGCCATTCTCAGCTCATTTTTCCACACTTTATTTCATTCTGGTTCATTGTCGAATTCTGATCAAGTGCCAGCAATCTATGCTATCTCCAGAGAGGCCAGAGGCATCAATGCTAGTGTAAGAAACAGGAGGAGCCAGTAAAAACCCTTCTGGTCCCGGGCCGGGGTTCGAACCCACGACCTCCCGGGCACCAGAGCTTCATAACCAGACGCTCTAACCTCTCCGCTAAAAGGTCTAGACCCGTTTGCCTTATCAGTTGGTAGCGCCTATAAACCCCCCACTGTTACACTACTCCCCCTTTTCTTTCAAGATTCATCCTCGAATCTTCCGAATTCGACATCCCTGGAGCGGCACTCTTTGCTCCCAGGGCCGGTGTGGGAACCACTGTAAGAAACAGGAGGAGACAGTAAAAACCCGTCTGGTCCCGGGCCGGGGTTCGAACCCACAACCTCCCGGGCACCAGAGCTTCATAACCAGACGCTCTAACCGCTCCACTAAAAGGTCTAGACCCATTTGCCGTATCAGTTGGTTGTGCCTATAAACCCCCCACTGTTACACTAGCTAGCACCCAGGTTACATCACCCTCTGACTTTCCCTGGGTCTTAAACATCTCTTAATCGACAGACGAGGCATTCTGATTCACTTAAGCCGGTCACAGAAGATGTCTTCTTTATTCCTCTTCTGGCTCTAAGCCAGTGTACTTTCAGAATACAGATTTATCATGATTTTGATGCAAAACCTACATCTGTTATGGTCTTCTAAAGAAAAACCTGTAATAAAAACCTTGTGGCAGATAGACGGTCTTTATCTTTTTTATCTTTGCATTTGGATTCATGCTATGCAATGATGTTTCTCTTTAATTCCTCTTTAGAATGGACAGTATATATAGTCGTAGCTCTATAGTTATGGATGTTCCTAAGCCAACTTCACCATCAAAACGTGTCTCTCGTTTTTAATGGATGTTGCTACTGAAAGATGAGTTCTAAATCCCACACGATGGGATTAGAGTCTCTTGATGACATAAATCTTCTAGTCTAAGAGGACTTCCATCCCCATCTGGTCTTTCTTGTGCTCAAGACATAGCCAGGCATATTTCTTCACTAAAACAACTGAGCAACTCTGTTGGCTGATTTATAGAAATGTACAAAATGTAAATCATTGGCGCTGTGCAGGTATTTCTGATGCCTTCCTCCACCTAACCTGCACAAAACTTAGCCACCACACCTATGTGAAAGATGGTGGATGCGGTCTACTGTGGTCTACCGTGGTCCACTGTTCATCGTGCTTGTCAAAAAGAGCTAGGGGAATTTTCCTGTACATTATGACCCTGTAAATACTGTACATAGCGTCTGTCTTCTCTGTCACAAGCAGTGGGAGATAAGTAAGCTCTTCAGTGAGCTAAAACTTCAACGAAGAGAGGCATAAAAGAGGCCATATACACCAGGGCACTCCAACCTTCGCTCAACCGGGACGGGGGGTGATATCGACCTCAGACAACCTTTGACCCTTTGGTGATGTCACACTTTGGAAAAATCATTTGGGTCAGATAGCCGAGGAAGACTGAGTGATTTAGTTGAAAATTCCGATGAGTGAAATTTATGAATTGGAGAACAGTTTAAATTTGTCATAATGTAATTTACCAACTCATGTTGATGGTTTGAGATCACTTTTAAATTAGAATTTCTTGAACTCACCTTATCTGTATCAGAGTCAAAGTTGATGGGGATCAGGTTGGGGTCATACAGGATCTGGTTGGCTCGGAAGTTGATGGGAGATTGCATCTTCCCGTCCTTACACATCACCCAGTCTGAGTTCACCAGTCCCCAGAACTGTGGGCCTGGAGGAGGAAAGACAGAAATAATAATAATAATAATAAATGGTTTTTATTGTCCAAACAGTACCCGTGCAGTTGCAGCCTTTATACAGCTGAATTGATGCAGGGTATCACATAATAATCAATACAAATCACAACAACTACAACAATCAAATAATACACATGATACACATTTTGTTCCACAATTATTTTTTGTAGAACTGTCACAAGGGTCTGTGCGGCTGCCATTCGGCGCCTCAAGGTGACCTCAATACGACTTTCCCCAACCAAAGTTAGGTACCCATTTACACCTGGGTGGAGTGAGGAAAGTCGTGTAAAGTGCCTTTTCCAAGGGCACAACGTCGGGGCGCATGTTCTGACATGTACTGGGAACGACTCGGAATCGAACCCGGGTCTCCCGGTTCATAGTCGATTGCTCTAACCGCTACACCACCCAACGCCACACCACACTTTCATAACATCTATAACTAAACATACATTGAAACAAATACAAGTCATAATTCACCTAGTACCTATACAAGTCTATGAATAAATCAACATGTTGAGTTTGACGTATCAGTAATAGTGTTCTAACGTCTAAAGTGAATGGTGCAGTACATTCTGCCAATGTGCTCTAAAACCTCTGTGACAAGTTACAATGTCCAGCCAATATAACTACATGTACCAGTATTATGTAATTCTATGCACATATTCTATATGCTACTTGTTGTACTCATAAATCAGTTATCATTCTGGAAAACTACTGATCGAAGGATAAGTTCAGAACTATGAAATCTTGAACGTTACAAATCCTTCTGTTATTAGAAGTGCTTAACTTATAGGTTTCTGTACTGCCATGCCAGCTTTGTCTTCAAAGCAGCTTCGATGTCTTTGACAATCACTGCTCTGTTGCATCCTCTTCTCACTAAGGCAGGATGCTTGCCACGGAACGGAAGTATTGTTTTTGAGTGGCACTAAATTTTGCTAGGTTTGAATGTTTGGGTTCCTGCAGCTGACTAGGAAGGATGGTATAATAGACATGTTGCATAATTATAGTATGAGTAGTATTCCATGCTGCTGTGATGTAAATTATCCAGAGATTTTTTTTTTTTTTACTTCATCGGTCACCACAAAACAAGGCTCATGAGAGCCACTCAAAATGTTTTGGGTTACTGTACAGCCAGTGAGGACAGATGTTTGTTGACCTTTGACTTGAAAAGTTTAAGGTTATACCCATATGGAAAACAATCACATGGTAGCTTAGTCCATAGTGATGTTGTTCTAGGAAAGAAGCTTTCAGCATGGAACTTCCTCCTAAGAGGTGGTGAATGAGCGCGTTGGCAGAACGGACTGCGCCTGTGCAGAACCCTGGATTTTTGGTTGGATTTTTGGTCAACGTTGCATCAGAATTTTCACTGTTGCAGACGATATCTTTTCTGACACAACATTGGGAAACTATTGTCGAAATTCTAATCTTATATGAGCGAATACGACCTTATATGAGACATTCTGCCAAAGTGCTATGTACAATACATTACGGGTTTCGCGCAGGTGCAGTACGTTCTGCCGACGTGCTTGGTGAATGGAGGAAGAAAGGGTGATTCGCTTCAGTGGAAGTGGCAAGACGTGTCCTTGCTGAGAATGTTGGAAGTCACAGGGGGCACATAAGCGAGTGAAGTTCCGTGGAGCATTTCCCAATGATCATACTTAGCCAAGTTGGTTATACATTTTGTACTGTACATAGTAAGACGTGTTACGTACATCAAACAATCCTCTCTGCAGTTCCATTACATTCACGAAAGCCAAAGCTTGGAAGTCTGAAATCTCTGATTTCTTGTTTGGCAAGAGAAGCCTTAGACTACATCCTCTTGGTAATGATGCTGTGGGACATTGATGGGTAATGCACAGTGCACTCTAATCCAATTCTTATTATAGCCACAGGCGTAGATCTTGGACACTGAGGGTATTTTTGCCAGTCTGATTTAGGCCACAGTAAGTAAATTTTACGGATGACATCCTCCACAGACTCCAAATCTAATGCGAGCGGGCGAAAAAAAACAAGGCGGGGCGGAAAAAAAGATTCCTACATTTTCATATTTTGACGTCATAAACCTTGTTAAACAAGAGATGATACCTATATGGTGCTAAGTTTACTGCCAACTATTACAACATTCATTGCCACTGAAAAATAAATTTTAAAGTTTTCACCCATTGTACAAATTGTTTTGATTCAGTGGGAACATCACATATACACAGCCACCATCACATATAAAAGGAATGAAATACATCACTGCATCAAAGTAAAAGACAATTTGTGAAAACATTAAATCAGAGCCTTGTCTTGCCTCCTGTCTTGATATTTATCTGCCATCCACGTTCCGGCATGGCAACAGACATCTTTGCCCATTTTCGGCATGTTGACCACTGTCAGAGGGCAACAAAATTTCTTTTTTTTTCCAAAATCAGGCGAAAATCAATGCGCGCGGATGTCATCCATAAAAATTACTTGCTGTGGCCTTATAGTCAGATCTGGGCGGAAGTCCCTACTTTGACAAGGTCCTGGTTAATTTGACAATTTCATTATTGTGGACAATGTGTAGACATCTCCTGGAGGCAACCGTCTGTGTGGGGAATTAAGACGAAAGGCCGTATTTCTAGGGGACAGAGAAATGTTCCAACACGTTGGTGAAGGTTTAAGACATCTAGGTAATAAGATACGCCAAAAACAGTACTCTAAGCAACTGGATATGATTTTGGACACGGTCAGACATTTCAGGTAGCGTCAGTGACACTAAGAGACTACAGGAGAAATGCAGGTTTATAAGCACAAACTATTGATTGTTATACAAATAAGTGAAGACAAATTTTTTGAAAGTCCAAGCAATAGTTGTTTTTTCCCCTTCATTATAATAAGCCCCACACAGTTAATAATACTGGATTCACCCCTAGCTTAGGCCACACCAATTTGATTTGTTGATTCTTTGAATTTCTTTTAGAAAAAATATGAAGCAACAGGGAAAAAAAATAGATATTATTTAATAAAAACAGACCTAGGCATCCTATAATAGCCCCAAATGCTATGATGGGGGCCATGATGTCAACCTACCAGGCTGGTTCGTAATTCAAGCAATGAATTGTGATCTGAAGTTTTTAGCAAAACAAATTTTGTAGATGGAAAAAACTCACAACTAGGAAGGCAACTTGATCTTTCATCAACTGTTCAGGCTGAACATTCAGAACCTGAATCTTTTCCTTTTTTTGCAAATTAGAAAAAAATGAAGCGGGTACGTGAATCCAAGAACCAATTAATAAATTGGTGTGGCCTTAGAACATTTATTTTCTGCTGTGAGAATCAAAAAAAAAAGACAAGGGAAATTGAATACATAGAAAAATGGAGTGTGATGACAGGAGAGCTATTTTTGACTCAACGCTTCCAATTTCAAAAGGCCAGCATCCTTAGTAGTTGGCCAAGCTTGCATGGTGGTCTCCAAGGCCATCAGCTTATTATATCTTACATACAAGGAAACAGGAGTGTATGTCATCCATGGAGAGACAAGCCAGGAATTACACCCTCCTATCCTCCCCATCTAACAGTTGGTCTGTGAAACAAGGCAGTTGGGAAATATGTGTGTGGAGATACGGGCTTCAAAGTCAAGATTACGGCATCATCTTCTCCTCTGGTGGTCCCAAGGAGCTTGCCAGGTAGAACTAACAACTTATTGACCTGTGCAAGAATGTTATCTTGGCCTAAACACGTAAATTCACCAGTGCTTGAATATCAGGATGTTCATCATGATCAGTTAATTGGGCATCCAATGCAATTTCAGGGCGGCGAAACAAAAAATAATCAAAATCTGTCTGATACTAACTGCCATTTCTTGGCACATTTTCATCATCATTTCATACTTGACTTTCGATTGTAACATTAATATACTACCTTTGTTGCTTAAGAAATAAGGATGTTAGGTTATATCATGTACCTTTTTAAATTTTTTCTGTACTATGTTTATTAATTAGTTTCTTTTGCCATACATTTTTGCCATATATTATCGTCATGCATTTAAGTTTGCCCTCTCTTGAAGCATTTGAAATAAGGAACAAGCTACTTGCATGGTGCACATTTTTCTACCAGATGGGCCAACCAATGAGGAAATGAAATTATTCAGAAAGTAAAAAAAAAAAAACTTTGACATCACATTCAACCATCAGGCAGCGCTTTACCAGATAATCCAGTGGGTAGTAAAGGGAAATGGGGGTGATGAGGACCTTGGCTTTACTACTGAGCGAGTGCCATAAAAGGAGAGGCCGGGAAAAAGAACACCTTAACATGGCCTAAGTGATGCATGGTCCTGCCAAACGGATTTTAATAATGCAGAGGGTGTAGAGGATACCGGAGAACACTCCGTCTGCGGGGAAACTTCGCTACGTCCCTCCGGTCAGCCAGCAGTTTTGGACGGCGGCCAGAGATTGACCACATTAACCCACACAATGGGGTATCAAAGAGTACAAAATAGATTGTAGTCCTGGGAATAAAAAGTCCCACAACATACTAATACCTGTGAGGGATTCCTTACGTGTGAAAACAAAACATCTGATATGCGAGGGAACCGCAACATTAACTTTCTGATGCGTGATAATGATTTTAAATGACGGAGACTGGACAAGACGGTTAAAAAGTCCCAAAACATACTAGAAGCTGCGAGGGACTTAACTTACGTATCAAAACAAAACATCTGATATGCGAGGGAACCGCAACATTAACTCTCTGATAAGTGATAATGATTTTAAATGACGCAGACTGGACAAGATGGATAAAAGGTCCCAAAACATACTAGAAGCTGCAAGGGACTTAACTTACGTATCAAAACAAAACATCTGATATGCGAGGGAACCGCAACATTAACTCTCTGATAAGTGATAATGATTTTAAATGACAAAGACTGGACAAGACGGATAAAACGTCCCAAAACATACGAGAAGCTGCGAGGGACTACCTAACGTATCAAAACAAAACATCTGATATG